CTGGTAACCATTCTGCCTCCTTAAAATTCCTCTTTTCAGTTTGAACTGGAAGTAGTGGTGGAGTTTACTTGCTGTCCTAAGCGGCTGGGGTAGCATTGCTGTGCACTGTTGAAACAGGTGCTTCTTAAAACCGCAGAGGCAACTAGGGCTGTGGCAGTGAGTGGAATTAAACGGAGTGAGAGAGAGTTTGAAAAGTGTCTTGAAAGCCATTGGAATGAAAGGTGCTATATAAATGAGTTGCTGTTATTAATAAATCCTGTTGTAATCATTACATTAAACAAAAATTGACAAACCTGAACCATTTAATTTAAAATAAAATCCTGGCAATTCAGCATTTAAAAAGAATTGATTTACTTTCATGGCAGAAACCTACAAATCTCTGGCAGATGCAATAAGAAAAGATGTAAAACAAGAGTTTTATTGGTTCACGATCCAATTCCTTGCTTTTAAAACTGCAACAAATGAAATGTCACCTGTTTTATTTACAAGCTCAACTCAACTCAGTTTCTTGAAGTAGAGGCTGTGAAGCCATTTTTCAAACTGGCTGAAGTTGGCAAATAACAAATAAAAAAAAATTAAATAATGTCTAGATCAGCATGTGCTCTGAATTTGTAAGGGTTTGGCAGCTTCTGTTAACACTGTAATAAATTTACTGACTTGAGTGAGATGCTTTAACACTTTGATAAGAAATTCACAGTTGATGCATTTGTTCTGGGATATTATGGACCAAAGCCAGATGTGTGTGTTGGCAGGATAAACTTCTATTCATTTTTTCCTCTGTCTTTCAGTAGAAGACATCAAAGTATGTTTTAATAATTCTAGTAATAGACTAGTTTTATACACCATGTCCTATTAAACATATTACTATCACGTTCTCGTGTTAACTATATTTTTTTAGAATGGTTTCAATTTTCGGTTTTCTAGAAATGAGCCATCAGAACTCACTGCTAGGATTAGTTATTAAAATTCATGTATAGATATGATATAGCGATAAAGTTACATAGTCTAGGGGCTTCATTTGATACTGACATAACACCATTGAAATCAGTCATGTAACATTGGTATCTTCATTGGCTAACTGTCAACAGAGCTGATATAATGCGATCAGTGGTAGTGCGTCATGATTTTCTTTCCTTTTCTTTCCTACCCATGTGCTTCTACCCTAAGCAGCGTCATCCACCTCCAGATGCCATAAAGGACTTCAGTGTCTATGGCCCATCTGATTCCATCCCATCCCATCCCAAATCTTATACCTCTCTTCTATCATCATAGTATCTGTGATGTAGTAAGCAATGTGACCTACATCTGTCATATGTGGTTTGTGTTCTCTCTCTCTTCCTCCCCCCCCTTTACCTGGGAGAGAATTGTGTGTGGAGTGTTTTATTTTGGTAGGGTTTTACTTTTCTGGGGAGGGAGTTGTTTGTTGTTTTTGTTTTGTTTTTTAAATGAACATGCTGGTCTCCGTGTGTGTTTAGAGAGGGTAAGTTAAAGAAGTGTGCTTGATACTTGGGACGGAAGTTGTGGGGTTTGTGATAGTCCTTAGTTCCTTAGATTGTAAGCATGTTTGGTCAGGGACTATCTTTCTGTTCCGTTTGTACAGCACCTAGCACATTGGGGTCCATGACTGGGGCTCCTGGGTGCTACAGTAATAATTGACTGAATAACAAATTTATATTATTATTAATCATAAGACAGAAAATATTATATTGCCTCTGTATAAATCCATGGTACGCCCACATCCTGAATACTGCATGCAGATATGGCCGCCCCATCTGCAAAAAAAAAAAAAGAGAGAGAAACTGGGACTTTCAGCTTGAAAAGAGACAACGAAGGATGGGATATGATAGAGGTCTATAAAATCATGACTGGTGTAGAGAAAGTAAATAAGGAAATGTTATTTACTCCTTCTCATAACATAAGAATTAGGGGTCATCAAATGAAATTAATAGGCAGCAGATTTAAAACAAAAGGAAGTATTTCTTCACACAATGCACAGTCAACCTGTGGAACTCCTTGCCAGAGGATGCTGTGAAGGCCAAGACTATAACTGGGTTCAAAAAAGAACTAGATAAGTTCATGGAGGATAGGTCCATCAATGGCTATTAGCCAGGATGGACAGGGATGGTATCGCTAACCTCTGTATGGCCGTTCTTATGTTCATAGACCAACCCCTGAGGAAGCTGGAGTGGACCTTCATTCCTGAGCTTTCGACTCTTTTAGAGATGCCGGGCCTGGGCCATTAAGCGCCTTGAAGATAAGGACTCAGACCTTGAGCTGACTCCTTGGTTCCTCTCTAGAGACCTCTAGGGAGAGTGAGAATCGGTGCCGATCACAGTCATGATTTTGCACAAACAACTTTAAATATTTTTTAAATTGAAAGTAAATAAGTAACTAGTAGAATATGGTTCCATTTGTGAAATTGCAACAGAAGTCTCTGCTCGCTGTCCCTGTAATAAATCCGTCCCAGTGCTAGAACAGCAGAGCAGAACTGTATGGGAGTTCTGGTGAGAGAAAACAACTTTCTGTTGAAATTCCATTTATAATGTTCTATTCAATTTTGGTCACCACATTATGTAAAATTAAACGTTGTAGCGATTAACATGCTTCAAAGAAGGGCATGAAGGCTGATCCCAGAACGAAAGACTATAAGCTCTGAAGTAAGTTAAAAAACCCTTTGCTTATGTAGCCTGAAAAAGGGAAAACGTTCTGAGGCATTTTAGTTGGAGAATATATCAATTTTAATGGTGTTGGTTGTCAACTTCGTTGTTCTCTGCCGAAGCAGATAAGAGAACAATATGGTGTGACATTCAGGAAAGCACATTCAAAGCCGTCTTCAAAATCACATTTCCAAATACGCCGTGCTCCAGTGTGGGAAGAAATACTGATGATTGCACTGAGAGCTTTACATCTTCAGATCACTTCTCAAACATTAACTCTTTCACCTCCCCCCCCCCCCGCAGAGAAGCAGGTAATTGCATTTTACATTATTGTTGGTGTTTGCACTGTATTAAAAATAACAACAATGGGAGTACATGCAGCTTTACAGACAAATAAAGAGACAGGACCCCACGCCGAGGATCCTGCAACGTAAATTACATTTTATATGGTGACGGTTGCTGATAAAGATGGCGGGGGGGAGAGGGGGAGTGACAGGACAAAGGTCACAGCGGAGATGAGCTTGATGTTCTGAATAGAGCTTGTCCCTTCCTTCCTGTACACCAGGTCTGGGAGGATATGCTAGGCACAGTGGTAGCTGCTTCTGGGAGAAGGAACTAAAGGGAGCGTTAAGGCAAGCTGGGGTGGCAGAATGGATGCCGTGAATGCTAGGTGCCTGGAGAACGAGCTGATTTATGCGGAGACGTGACCAAATGTAGCTGCGCCTGCTTCCTGCAAGCTACATGGGGGCCTCAGAGCCAGACTTGGCAGTAGCAGAAATCGGCGCGGTGTGTACGGCACACATCAGGTGTAAGCTGAGCGGGAGACAGGCGAAGTGGGGAGATGTGCTGATTCAGCATTCAGTGGGTGTGCAAGACAACTTAGACACTGAGGGTCTGGAATTAGGAGGAAAAACAATTGTGCCACCCGTAAACCCCCCCCCCCCCCCCATACTGGACACAGCTGCTGGTAGGTGTCCTAAGGTAGCAAGCCGGCATGTATTCCTCTTTGAGTCATTGGCCCACTTTGCTTGGGTCCGGAAGCCCCTGACACCAAAACCCAATTACACACTGAGGAGTTTTGTAACCATTTATATAAAAGCATATTAGGCAAGGGAATGGGTACAGAACAACGGGCTGAAAGGGGATGGGGGACTTAAGGGATTTCAACAACTGTGAAACAATAGCACAAGCCCTTCCCCCACAGCTGGAGGTCCCCAAAACCTTCCTCCTCCCTCCCCCCCGGCTTCTGCCCCCCAACCTCTACTACCATCAGTGATGCACACAGAGTTGAGATGCACTAGCCTGGTGAAAGACGTTGCACCTCTGGTGGCTGCTCAGTCTGGATTTCTGGCCTGGTGAGTGGTGGTGGATTTAGAGTTAGTGGGGCCCTGTGCGCAGCTTCGTTTTTGCCCCTCCCCACCACTCCCGGGACCCTGCCAAGAAAAAGAACATTCTCTTATCTCCCTCCCATTGTTCATTCTTTTTTTCTTTCTCCTCCTCCTATATTATAAGTAATGGGAAGTAAATGAAAATACAGTGAGGTACTTTGATTGGGGCAGGGGGTTGGGGTGCAGGGGGTGGGCTCTGGGAGGAAGTCTGGATGCTGGATGCGGGCTCTGGGCTGGGGCAGGGGGTTGGGGTGCGAGAGGGGGCCAGAGAGTCTCTGCATGTCGCTGCCCGCAGGCGCTGCTCCCATTGGCCACCATTCCCGGTCAGTGGGAACTGCAGAGTCAGCACTCAGGGCAGGGGCAGCGCGTGGAGACGTGCACCCCCCACACACATACACACACACACACCCGGGGGCAGCAGGGACATGCTTCCGGGAGCGAAGCGGCGCAGAGGGAGGGAAGCAGAGCGGGCAGGGAGCCACCTTAGCTCTGCTGCGTTGCTGCTGGCCCGTCTCTACGCGCCCCTTGGGGACAGGAGGGCAGTGGGTCTCTGCGCACGGAGCCGCCTCCCTCCAGCCCCTCCCCCACGGGTCCCTCTCAACCATTTATCCTTCATTAGTATCTGAGCACCTTCCATGTAAAATCAATAGCAATAGCAATGTCCCTAATGGACTTCATGGAGTCTCTGGTATTTTCAGGGGCCATAGGCTGCTTGCAGTAGGCTTTTGTGGTAAGAACTGGAGGGTAAACGGGCCTATCCGTGTTAGGAGTGTCATTCTTACCGTGAAAAGGCTTTTGCAAAGGAGGAAGGCTTTGCAGCATTTCCTGAAGACAGGCAGAGTCTGGATTCGCCTGTTCTCCTGTGGAAGTTTGTTCCCCAGATCCCCTGGACCGAGAATGACTTAAAGGCTCCTGGGACTTTTGTTGCTGATGATCATGCTTTGCTCTTCCCCAGATGCCATGGGGCTGGGACTACTCCAGATCTTCCAACCTAGGAGAACTGAAGCTTTTGCTTGAAGAATCTGTCATGATCCGCCGCTTGAAATCAGATGTGCTCTCCCAGCTTCCAGCAAAGCAGCGCAAAATGGTAGTGGTGGCTCCTGAAGGCATGAATGCAAAGACCAAGGCTGAGCTGGCCGCCACTGCAAAGGAGATGTCCAAAGGATACAAAAGTGTGAGTCAGAAACTGTTAACATGATGGACTGTTGGTATTTCAGGTGCTCACTTAAAAAAAAAAATCAGTTGAGAGCAATTCCCAGATTCTTAGATCAGCATCGAAATGTACAGCAGACGTTATCAAGGGAACTGTTTTTAATGGTTCTCTTGGGTATCCAAGAATGCACAACATCAATAATCATAACAGGTCAGCTTTCTTTTTTTTAGTTTCAGCCGTTTCATCTTCTTGTCATGCTGCATATCACTCTTTCATTTCCCCTGTCATTTGCCTTTTATCTCCTCTTCACTCTATTTACTATCTTTCACGCCTCTGTATTTACTCTCCTGTCTTGCCTCGTAAGTCCCACTTACCTTACAAATGTAACCGACAGGGTTGCGAATCTCAGTTGTGGCCAACTATTTTTGTGCCTCTGTGGACAGAAAATGCAGATTACAACCGTGTTAGAAACCTGTGCTGTTTATTTTATAGACTTTTCTATGGTGCTTATCTTCGTATCTAAGCTTCTGACAAACTTCACTTTACCCTCACCACACCGCTGCTGCTATTCCCATTTTACAGATGGGACTCTGAGGGCACGTCTTCACTACCCGCCGGATCGGTGGGTAGCAGTTGATCTATTGGGGATCGACCTATCGCGTCTAGTGAAGACGCAATAAAATCGATCCCCGATGGCTCTTCCGTCGACTCCGGAAATCCACCGCGGCAAGAGGCGGAAGCGGAGTCGACGGCGGCGCGGCAGCGGTCAACTCGCCGCCGTCCTCACAGCCAGGTAAGTCGACCTAAAATGCGCAACTTCAGCTACGCTATTCACGTAGCTGAAGTGGCGTATCTTAGGTCGACCCCCCCTGTAGTGTAGACTTAGCCTGAGGCCTAGAGAGAGTCGTGTTATGTCTACACTGGAGCTGGAGGGGTAACTTACCTGTGCTAGCTCTGATCAACTTCCTGCACTAACAGTAGCAGCGCTGTGAGCAGCGGGATGGGCTAGCCATCCTAGATATGTAGCTAGGGTTTCTCCTGGGACTGTACTCTGGCAGCTAGTCTGTACCATTGCTTGTGCTGCAGCAACCCTGCCGCCATCGATCAAAACTAGTTACTCGAAATTACACCTTCAGCTCTGCCGTAGATGTACCTGAAATGACTTGCTCAAGGTCACACAGAAAGTCTGTGGCAGAGCAGGGGTCTCGCAAGTACTCTAATCACTGGACCCAGCTGGTAGAGAGATCTGTCGAAAACTTGGTTCTCTATTATGGTTATAACACATTTTTCGGTCCGCACCAGTAAGAAAAAAAGCAAATTATGACATGATTTGGCCACAACAGTGCTTAAATATGGCTATGCTTGTAGTGCAGACAAAGCTCTCTACACACAGCATCTCTTGGGGGGGTGGGAATGAAAAATACAATTCACGTGAGAGTATTCCTTCAGTTTTCCAAACTTTAAATTTCTGCTGGGGGCAAATCTACTTCTCCCCACTCTTGGGTGGTCCCCAGTCAGCGTAGAACTGGTGCAGTGCCACTGGGGTAGGTGGCAGGGGCAGAATTTTGGTAGCACATGGTGAAAGATTTCCCCATCCGTGTAGTATGTTTTGTAAATACCAGTGTTTAGGGAGAGTCTGCTTTTCCCCAGCACAATGCCCAATGGCAGCTGCAGATATGCTGGAGCGGCTGGCACCCAGGAGGGAAGGCAGATTTGAAACTGACATTCAGGTTTGTTCTCCTCTTCACAGAAACAACAGGAGAAGGAAGCTCTATTACTCTTCTATAACAGAACCGCGGAAGCCAAAATCCGTTCAGTCATGTAAGTTGTGTGACAGTCATAGAATCATAGGATCAGAAGGGACCTCAAGAGGTCTTCTAGTCCAGTCCCCTGCGCTCAAGACAGGACTAAGTATTATCTAGACCATCCCTGACAGGTGTTTGTCCAACCTGCTCTTAAAAATCTCCAATGATGGAGATTCCACAACCTCCCTAGGCAATTTATTCCAGTGCTTCACCACCCTGACAGTTAGGAAGTTTTTCCTAATGTCCAACCTAAACCGCCTTTGCTGAAATTTAAGACCATAGCCTCTTGTCCTATCCTCAGAGGTTAATCCAGTGCCTCATTCTGATCTATCAAAATGTATTTGACTAATGAGAAGAGAGAAATTGAGCCTTTGGGATAAGATTCCAGCAAAATCAAGTGCAGCTAACCAAATTAATTACAACACACAACATTCTCTTCTTCCAAGGGCTCTATACCTGCCCAGTCTTCTGATTTAATTCCAGATGGGCCCAAATTGGGATCCTAGAATCATAGAATATCAGGATTGGAAGGGACCTCAGGAGGTATCTAGTCCAACCCCCTGCTCAAAGCAGGACCAACCCCCAACTAAATCATCCCAGCCAGGGCTTTGTCAAGCCTGACCTTAAAAACTTCTAAGGAAGGAGATTCCACCAGCTCCCTAGGTAACCCATTCCAGTGCTTCACCACCCTCCTAGTGAAAAAGTTTTCCCTAATATCCAATTTAAACCTCCCCCACTGCAATTTGAGACCATTACTCCTTGTTCTGTCATCTGGTACCACTGAGAACAGTCTAGATCCATCCTCTTTGGAGCCCCCTTTCAGGTAGTTGAAAGCAGCTCAAATCCCCCCCCCCTTCTCTTCCGCAGACTAAATAATCCCAGTTCCCTCAGCCTCTCCTCATAAGTCATGTGCTTCAGCCCCCTAATCATTTTTGTTGCCCTCCTCTGGACTCTTTCCAATTTTTCCACATGCTTCTTGTAGTGTGGGGCCCAAAACTGGACACAGTACTCCAGATGAGGCCTCACCAATGTCGAATAGAGGGGAATGATCACGTCCCTCGATCTATTGGCAATGCTCCTACGTATACAGCCCAAAATGCCATTAGCCTTCTTGGCAACAAGGGCACACTGTTGACTCATATCCAGCTTCTCGTCCACTGTAACCCCTAGGTCCTTTTCTGCAGAACTGCTGCCTAGCCATTCGGTCCCTAGTCTGCAGCAGTGCATGGGATTCTTTTGTCCTAAGTGCAGGACTCTGCACTTGTCCTTGTTGAACCTCATCAGATTTTTTTTGGCCCAATCCTCTAATTTGTCTAGGTCCTTCTGTATCCTATCCCTACCCTCCAGCATATCTACCACTCCTCCCAGTTTAGTGTCATCTGCAAACTTGCTGAGGGTGCAGTCCACGCCATCCTCCAGATCATTAATGAAGATATTGAACAAAACCGGCCCCAGGACCAATCCTTGGGGCACTCTGCTTGAAACCGGCTGCCAACTAGACATGGAGCCATTGATCACTACCCGTTGAGCCCGACGATCTAGCCAGCTTTCTATCCACCTTATAGTCTATTCATCCAGCCCATACTTTTTTAACTTGCTGGCAAGAATACTGTGGGAGACCATATCAAAAGCTTTGCTAAAGTCCAGGAATAACAGGTTCACTGCTTTCCCCTCATCCACACAGCCAGTTATCTCATCATAGAAGGCAGTTAGGTTAGTCAGGCATGACTTGCCCTTGGTGAATCCATGCTGATTTTCTGATCACTTTCCTCTCCCCTAAGTGCTTCAGAATTGATTCCATGAGGACCTGCTCCATGAGTTTTCCAGGGACTGGACTGGTCTATAGTTCCCCGGATCCCCCTTCTTCCCTTTTTTAAAGATGGGCACTACATTAGCCTTTTCCCAGTCATCCGAAACCTCCCCTGATCGCCATGAGCTTTCAAAGATAATGGCCAATGGCTTGTCATTCGATATCCAAGCGTGCTGCCTTCAATGGCTCTGCAATCACATCCGGGTTGTTTAGTTCCGTATCTAAAGCTACCCAGTGTTTGGGGTTAAGATCAAGTCCTCTGGTTCGGGCACTTCTTTAGTTAAAAAGGAACAAATCAATGCCATCATCAGTGTCAAGAGAATTTTAAAAAACTAACACTGTAGCCTTGCTGCAGAAAGCATTGAGCCAACCTATTTGTCAACCAAATGTAGTCTTTAGTTTTATAGGGCTCACTAGAGGTGCCATGTCGACAGCCCTGAAGGTCTTGAATGTTCCACAGAGCCCAGGTGGGATCATGGTAACAATGTACGCTTCCCCCAGGAATGGACTTTTAACTCTTTCCTCTGGAGAGGTAATCCCTTCGAGTTGGGCTGGAGGCCCTTTCATCCCTAGCTTTTTTTGCTCTCAACAGATCAGATAGGATGTTGGTTTTGTTTGTTTGTTATGGGGACATGTATAATTTGCCACTGATTTTTATTTCTCATAGCCAACTGACCGGCTATCCTATTGGAATGACCAGAGTCATGTGTACTGCATGACTTCACAGCCACAGAATTTGCTGCAGAATCCAGAATTGCCGCCCAGAGGCTCTGCTTTTGTTTTTAAAAAAGTGTTTCTTTCATTTATGTTGGCGAAGAAAACCACATGAACTGAATATACAACCATACAGTGTTGTTTCCCTGCGTCTGCAGAGGTCTGAAAAAATAGCACTGAGAGGTGGGAACTGCCCCATTCATCTTTAGGCAGTGCCACCTATGAAATTGTAAAGATTAAAATTTAAATGCTAGCCGTATGAATTGCTGGTTTAGCAGAGCCACCTAGCTAATATTCAGAAGTAGCTCAAGCTAATGTCCTTATCCTACCATCTCAGTATGCCTCCCACAACATCTCAGGTGCCAAAATGTCCAACTTCCCCCCGACAACTTCTCCAGTGCAGCAGTGTATTGTCCATACAAAAATCTGTTGCATGTTAAACTGAAAATGTCAGGACAGCATATAAAATAAATATGAGTTGAATATCATACCACAGGGGTCATTCAGCTGATCGTATTATTCATTTTCAGCTTCATTTCAGTGTAAACCTTCTCTTGAATTAAATTAAACTAAAATAGAATTTCCTATAGATTCACCAGAATGTCACAGAATTCAGCAACTTGGCTGCAGAATTTAAGTCCATCTTGCCACGGAGTCATTTGGTTTTTTTCAGTCATAGCTGGCCTGGGCTGTGTTGAAAATAGTGACTTGGTGAAATACTTCATAGTCCTGATTTTAGCACCAATTCGTTGAGCCATCTGTCCTCATTAGAAGCTGAAATTTGATTTACCCGTTCCCAACCATTTGTAAACAACTTACAATCGCTTGTTACATAGGAAACTTATTGCATGTCTTAGTGGATTGAAAAATAAGTTTCAAGATGTCCTGATAAATTTGTTCTTCAGAGAAGTTTCCTTTTTAGAGTGACAACAGCGTTAAATAAATGTATTATGGGTAATTGCCTTCTGGATAACATAATGTGTTCCACAAGATGCCTAGAGTTAGAAATACAAATGAATGAATGAATGGGATAGACAGATAAATGGAAATGAGTTTAAGTTGGGCCACTCTGTTTCATCAAGTGTGACTCAGTGACATACAAATACAAATAGATACATTTGTCATTCAGTGGCCAGGAGTCCAGAAAAATGAGTGATGTGTCCCTAGATCTTTTTTTATATGTGGATATTAATTATTGAAATGCTGTTTTTTGCTGGCTAGCTTCCTGATTTCCACCTATAGATCAACAATATCGCTTAGGATTTGAGGGTGATGTGTGCATGGGACAACAAAGACATCAATAATATAACTTGGATTATTTGTTTTTAATACAGAGAATACATCCTGGAATTACTGGAAAGCGGGAGAGACAAATTCCTGGTGTTTGCTCATCACAAGATAGTACTGAATGCAATCAGCAAAGCGCTGGAGAACAAAGTAAGTTCTTAAATCAGGTTCCTATTAATTTTATTATTGAGCCAACTTCAAAGCTCTGGAGAGTTCTGGCAGGTCACTTACTTTATGAAAGTTAGTGACGCGCACAATTCTCTAATTGAGATATCTCTAATGTGCCCCCTGGCCACGATAACTGAGTCTCCAGAATGAGACTGCCCGGTGGGATGTACATTTTGTGTATGTGAGGGCTATTGCTGCAGATGTTTCTTGGTGTTCACCACCACCTGGAGGGATGTGTGTACAGTGCTTTGAGAAGTGCTGTTTCAGTACCATACGTTGCCATTGCTGCTTTTCGTGCCTCTTCGGAGAAGGTGGGGAGAAGGCAGTGACAAACCCACCCCAGCTATATCTGCATGCCCTTTGTTTCTTGGGTCCATGTTGCTCTGATTTTTGTGCCTGGCTATTGCATGGAGGCTTGTGTCTACTTACTAACTGCATAGTGATCTTTCTCCTGTGTCTAGTGATGAGTGGAGGTCACGTTTCTATGCCCATTTCATCTGATCTATCAGGTTTTGAAAGCTCATGCGGTGGCTGGGAGACCTGGTAGTGGTAGATGGGAGGTGGTTTTGCACATTTCTCACTTAGAAATCTCTGAGGGAAGTACTGGGCAATTGCTCATCATCCCTGACATTTATCAGGTACCCATCCTATCACCGCTCCAATTCGGTGAGGAGACCATTGGAAAATTGTTAGATTTGCAGCTGCAGCATCAATATGTGGGCAATACTTCGCTCTGCACTGAGCCTTTTCATCTGCGTCTCCTTTTCACTGACCCGGACTCTGCAGTCTCACCTTCCCAGTGTCTAAGCATGATAGTGACCTGGATGAAGGGTATCGGAGGAGATGGTGGCTGGTGATGCTGGTTCCTATTGTGTGTTTATGCCCAAATCTAATAGCAGCATTAGAAAACGCTGAAATAAAATTTAGTATTTTTTTACCCTGCCAATATATTTAAAATAAAATGTTATGGAGTAGTTCAGTGGATTTTGGTGGTGGGGAAATCCTCTAAAACTTGGGGAAATAAAGACATGCTAATGATCTTTCTCCACGCCCTCCTCTCAGCATGTTGGATATATTCGCATTGATGGCTCCACATCTTCAGCTGAGCGTCAGTCTCTGTGCCAGAAGTTCCAGTTCTCCGAGAAGCACTCTGTGGCTGTCTTATCCCTTACTGCTGCCAACACGGGGCTGACCCTCTCTTCTGCCGACTTGGTGGTGTTTGCAGAGTTGTTCTGGAACCCCGGTGTAAGGAACCTACGTTACTACCATAACTTAAAGCAGTGTGCGCCAGTGGAGAGAGCACAGTACTGGGACTCCGGAGACCTGGGTTCTATTCCTAGCTCTGCCACTGACCCGATGGGTAACGTTGGGAAAGTCACTTTCCCCCTCAGTGCCTCAGTTTTCCCATCTGTAAAATGGGACTAATGATGCTAACCTCTGCTGTAAAGTGCTTTGGGAGCTACTGAAAAAAGTGCTATATAAGAGCTAGGTGGTGTTACTATTCTTATTACCGTACTGATCAATCATATTGCCAAAAAAGGGGACTGTTTGTAGTGTTGCGGGGTGGAAATGGAATAGTGTTATGGTGGTCCTTTGGAGGTGGGGGAGCATCATCCAGGATTTCTCTGTTTCCTTCCTCACTACTCTTTTACACTCCCAGCCCCCCAAAAACCTTTAAATTGCTGCAACCCCAGCTGACCGGACTGGCAGGGAGGGGTCACCTGGGAAGGTCACCTGCCTCTCCTTTAGCTAGTGCCCCCCTTTGTGTCCCTCCCATGAGTCACCTACGCGTACTGGTAAGAGTTAAAATCTCCTTGAACCACTGGATTGGTGACTCATGAGGTGGCAGTATTCTCTGTCAGTACTGAACCAGTGTTCCAGCACCGCGTTGGAAGGGAACAGGCAGGCCTGCAAGTGCTGTCTTTCATTTTCAACGTAAAATAAAGGGCCTGACCGCTTGTCATTCGAAATCCAAGTGTCCCGCCTTCAAGAGGGCGGGGGACTAAGCCTGGATCCCTGCCCAGATTCCATCCTGCCTGCCTACTATTCACCAGCCATTGGATAATAATAATACCTCATTCTCATAGCACTCTTCACCAGGTAGATCTCGATGCACTTTACAAAGGAGGTCGTCAGTATCATTAGCCCCATATGCAAATGGGGAAACTCCAGCACGGAGAAGCGAAGTGGCTAGCCCAGTATCACCCAGCAGGCCAGTTTCCAAGCTGGGAGCTAGAATCCAGGTCTCCTGAATCCCAGTCAGTGCTCTATCCACTGGGCCACACCACGTCTCATTCTACTCCACTTCTTGCTCTAAACTGCAGACTAGCACAGCTGTGCACCATTAAGCAGCTGATGCATTCCTCCCCTAAGGCAGCGGCATTTCAGTAAATGATCTTTCTATATACAAATTGTGGAGCTGTTTGAGGGCCCTCTGAATGCGGTGTGCCATTTGAATGATCCGTTACCGGCAGGACTGGAATTCCAACAGCCCCCCGTATGCCTCGGAAAAACTATAGGAGTATTTGTTTTTTCACAGTGTCAATTGCAAATCCCACACACACGCACACACTTCTGGTGATGCAGGAAACGGAGTATTTTAGCAGAGAAGCTTTCTCTAGGGAATGCTTTTAGCAGCTGGTTGTTTAGAGGACATCAGGGGAAAATGTCTGAGAGGAAGGTAGATCTTTGGGGTTCGGGTGCTGGCCAGGGACTAGGACCTGAACTCAGATCTCTGCTCTGCCACGGGTTTCCTGGGTGACCTGGGGCAAGTTGATTCATCTCTCTCTGCCTCAGTTCCTCATGTGTAAAAGGGGGAAATACCCCTTCCCTCCTCCCATCCATTGTGCAGCTTGGCTGTTTAGGTTATAAATTCTGGGCGGGCAGGGTTATGCCTGCTATGCCCTGATCTCCGCTGGGGACTCTTGCTGTTAATAGGGTACAAATTGGAGTAGTTAAGCATCGGGAAAAATAGGTCTCTCTTTCCTGGGGCCGGTTTTGTAAATTCTTGTGTGTTACACTGTTTCATTGTGCTTTCTCTGATTATTTAAATACAGGTTTTGATCCAAGCAGAAGATCGGGCACATCGAATTGGACAAACCAGTTCTGTTAACGTTCATTACCTGGTGGCTAAAGGCACAGCAGATGACTACTTATGGTAGGGAGTGGAAAGGACTTCGCCTTACCTCTTCATCTATCTCTTTGGGACTTGTGTGACTTGGGATATGATACTTAACCTCTCTGTGCTTGATTCCTCCTCTGTACGATAGGGGTGGCAGTAACATGCTCTCACGGCACTGAGAGGAGTGATATTTGCCTTTTGGGGTGAGGCTTTCTAGAAGGGCAAAGTCTTGTTAACAGTCTGGCCTTGTAACTGAAGGTGACAAGCCAGTAAAATAGACCTATTTATCAGGCAAAGAGTGGTTGTTGAGATGTTTGAGAGGGCCTAATGTATCTAAACGTTGACAGGCTGGGAATAGGGAGAGGAAGTTTGGCTGCTTGGTTGCAACACGGAATATTACAGGCTCCAAGCGCCTCCTGAGAGGTGAAGTTAGCAAGGACTTAGGGTGTTCAGCAGAGATAAGACCCATATAACTCTCTGGGTCGTGAGTTCTTGGGCTCTGCTGCCTCTCATGTTGCTCTTCAGCAAAGCTGTCTGACCATTGACGTGCCCCAATGGGAACTCAATCCATCCTTCTTTGGCTTGCGGGAAGGTTGGTGGGATGCAGGGCTGTGGGAGTATAATGTGATGGGGAGGGATCTAGGAAATCCTCTGTGCTGTGAGGGAAGGGACCTGCAATCGATGAAGGAAAATGATTCACCAGATGGTACTTTGAAGGTCCGAAATTATATCTTTCCATTACCTCATCTGAAAGAGCAAATGAGCTGAAGTGAACTTATACAGTTCCCAGAATATCATGATTGCAAATAATTAGGGCCTTGCATCAGGAGAAACTGGAAACTGACACGTCGCCCACATATAAAGGAAAGCTAATGACAGTAATTTTGCTTTTTATTTGTAAAATGCGGTCCATGCAACTGCTAGTGCTTGACTGAAAGGAAATATGCTTTTCAGAAGAGGACATACTTATCCTTTCATCCTCCCTCCCGTCCATGCCAACTCCAGGAGAGATGAGGGCATTTTATTAATGAAGGGTCATTAATTGTGCTAGGTGAGGTTCACTTCTTCATAGCTTCTTGTCATGTGTTGCAAATCCCAGGAATTGGAGATGGGAATGGAACCTGTTGCTCCCAGTACCGCCCTGTGGAACCACTTTCCCACCTTGAACTTTACACCTTCCAAATATTTGTAGACTGCAATCACGGCCTCTTATTGGTCAGTTAATTACAGTGCACACATTTAGCTCTCAACCTTTACATCCAGATCAGTCCATTTAGCCCCTCTAATCCTTTCGACTGGTTTTTTTCTGAATGCCTCTGTTTAATATCTCTGGTCCTGAGGTACCCAAAGCTTAAGACAGCATTCTAGGTGTGTGCATACAAACAGAAGGCAACATAGTGAAATTGACTTTGGTTACTAGAACTGGCTCTGCTAGCATGGGATCTATCCTAAGGTGAAAGGGCTGGTGCATGTCAATACTCCGAAGACGGTGGTTTTTCATGGGCCCGTGTAAATGACACCATAAAACCAATGATGTACCTGAGATACATCAATGATGTTTTCATCCTCTGGACAGATGACCTAAACTCTCTCATATATTTCCATCACAAGTTCAACCACCACCATCCATTGTGATGTTCCCCTGGTGTTCTCTGGACCAGTGATCTGCTAGGTCACTCCAGTCCTCGACTCTGGGAGCCAGCCTTACCCTGCTCTGCTGTGAGAACCCCACTCCCAGGCTGTTCACGCACAGCCACTGGCGTGTAAGCTGCTCCCAGTTACGTGAGTGAGCACTTTTGGCCAGCTGCTGCTTGGATTGTGCAACCGAATGACACTAGCCAATATCTCCGGTCCCAGACACAACCCTGGGAACCTCCGTCTTGCAGTGTCCAGTTATGCCCGCTGGACGCTGCAAGCTTATATGAGTTCATCAATTTAACAAAGAAATTGGCATGTACCAGGCTTCTTATCCCAAGGGGAGTCTCTGACATGCTTCAAACCAAATGCACTGCTTCAGGTAGAGTAAACAAACAGATTTATTAACTAAAAAGAGAGATTTTAAGTGATTTTAAGTCAAAGCACAAGAAGTCAGATTTGGTCAAATGAAATAAAAGCAAAACGCATTCTAAGCTGATCTTAACACTTTCAGTGCCCTTATAAACTTAGATGCTTCTCACCACAGGCTGCCTGGTTGCCCTTGCCAGGCTCTCCCCTTCGATCAGCACTTCAGTCACTTGGTGTGATGTCTGTAGATGGAGGTGGAAGAGAGAGGAAGAGCAGGGCAAACGTTTCTACGTTTATCATGTTTTTTCTTCCCTCTTGGCTTTGCCCCCCCCCCCTTCAGGGTCAGGTGCGCATTACCTCATCGCAGTCCCAACCTGACCAAGGGACGGGGGGTGACTCACTCAAGAGTCCAACAGATCTGTTGTTGCTGCCTAGGCCAGTGTCCTTTGTTCCTGTGAGGCTGGGCTGGGTTTGTCCCATACATGCCCTGATGAGGTGTGAACTGCCCCTCTGTTCCTGGAGAGTTTTGCCTGGGCTTGTTTTAAGCCATGAGGACACATTTTCAGCCTCATAACTTAAAGAATTTTTTCACTTCAAGGTTCCAGAAGCAAGGACAAGGTTTTCATCTCAAGGCCAAAAGACCAAAAACATCAAGACACTTGATCACGGCCTTGGATAGACCAAGAGACTACTACTACACTTGACCAGAGCTCGGAGAGCTATATACATGAAATTACAACCTATAACATTAGTATAACAACAATTCCTATAACATCACCGCAACAACAATGCCCAGTGCATCATGAGTCTTCCAAAGACACCCAACATCACAAACTTTGCACTGGATCCCACACAATCCTTTTATAAGGATGAACATGGGGGTGCAAGGTGTTCCCCTGAGGCACAGAGCGTCACACCCATCCATCAAACTCTCTCTAGAACATTCCCACATCAGCATCAATTTCCTGAACACCAGGATCAGCTTCAACAATGGAACCCTACAGACAACTAGATACAAGAAACCCACAGAACCAGTAATAACCACCCCCAGTATACCAAGAAATCGGTGGCCACAGAATTTGCTCCAAGGAGAAAGTCTGAGATACACACCTTTACACGCTTAAAATCGCCTTTACCAAGCAAGGATACTCCACCAGAAAAGTAGATCACATCATGGAATGGGCCACTCAAAACACTCAAAAAGAACCTGCTTCAGTATGGAGGGTGGGAACCCTCCAACTGTACACCCCTGGGTGTCACCTACCACCCCACACTGGAACCCATACAAGGCATCATTAAACAATTACAACTCATCCTCAATGGGGACCACATCCTGAAGCAAGCTCTCTCCCCACAGATCAGGACACGCCAACTCATAATGGCAACTGCACCTGCCATAACAACAGATGCAAAACCTGCAGACATATCTCCACTGCTACAGTGATAGACACCCCCGACACACACCTGTCACGGAGTGTGGGGGGGTCAGGGCCCTGCACCCCCCACTTCCTGCAATTCACCATGACTCTCAGCCAGACAGTAAAGCAGAAGGGTTATTAGATGATAGGAACACAGTTTAAAACAGAGCTTGTAGATACAGAAAACAGGACCCCTCACTCAGGTCCATCTTGCGGGGTAGGGAGGCCAGATCCCGGTTCTGGGCCTCCCTCCATTTCCCCCGCCAGCTCCAAACTGACACTCCCTCCAGCCCCTCCTGTGGCCTTTGTCTCTTTCCCCGAGCCAGGAGGCCCCCTGATCTCTTTGTTCTCCAACATCTTCAGTTGGCACCTTGCAGGGGAGGGGCCCAGGACATCAGTTGCCAGGAGACAGGGTATTCTCTGTGCAGACCGTATCATCCCTGCCCTCTAGGGCTCTGCAACAATCACACACCCTTATCCCACCACCTAGATACGTAAGAAAGACATAGGGGAAACTGAGGCAGCCACACAGTATTCAGAGAAAACATTAAGAACGTTCCCACTTCATCACAACACCTTTCAAGCTCCAGGGATCCTACACACACCTATCACAACATGTTGTGTACTTCATCTAGTGCACAAAATGCCCCAATAGCAACTATGTGAGTGAAACCAGACAATCCCTGTGCTCTCAAATGAATTTGCACAGGAAAATGATAAAAGGCAAAAACGCCATATCACCCCGGGGCAAGCACTTTTCTTCACAAGACGATCACTCCATATCAGACCTCTCCGTCCTCATCCTTAAAGGAAACCTGCACCACACCTTCAAAGAACAAGCCTGGGAGCTTAAATTGATAACTCTGCTATACACCAAAAATCACAGACTTAATAAAGACACTGGATTTATGGCTCATACAACAATCTGCAACCCACTAACTCGCCTTTGTCGTATTATTGCAGAGGTGGTAACTGCCCACTTCACCTTGGAAACGGTCTCTTGCAACATGAGTTAACTCCCTTGTATTTAGCTGTGACACTCAGTAGAAGAATGTAAGCTCGAAAGCTTGTCTCTTTCACCAGTAAAAGTTGGTCCAATGAAAGAGATTCCCTCACCCACCCTGCCTCTCATGGTAAATGATTCTGTGTTCCTCTGCCTAGAAAGGAGCCTGTGACATCTTAAATGCTACCACTTTCCTTTCTAGCAATATTTGGTGCTTGTTATCTTCCCATAGGCCTATGATTCAAGAGAAGATAAAAGTGCTGGGGGAAGCCGGTCTTTCTGAAGCCAGTTTCTCTGAAACAGCTGAAGCCACTGATTACTTCTACAAGGTCAGTGATGTGAATGTGAGACATTAGCCCGAGTCATTCCTGGGAGGAGTTAAACTGACTTGGGCTTTGTATGTCTCTAGAGTGACAGGTTAACAGAAGAGGAGATCTGAGCTCGCGCCAGTTCTGCCTTAAGTGCAGTAGGCTGGGTCATCCACCTTCCTCCCCGAGCCGCGTGGCAGTGGACCCTCCACGCAATGATCCCAATCTTGTTGTGTGGAAGGAGACTCCGGTGCCTCTGCAGCACCATTTTCTAACCCCCTCAGGCCCTGTGGAGGTTTCTCCATGTGGTAGGGAACCACATGGGAAAAAGGATGGGGTCAGGGCAGAGGGTGGCAGCCATATTGTCCCCCAACTCTCACTCTGCGAGTTTGTGCTGGCAATGTAAATACAGCTCCAGGCTATATTACCTTTTCTGCTGAGCCCCCATCCCCTGGGAGACCTAGATAGTGTGGCCAGGGAGCTGCCAGGGACCAAAACCGGCAGGGAGCACAGGACCTCTGTGCGTGTATTTCACTGGCCTCTTGCAGCTCCCCCGGATCATAAGGATCCGTTGGAGCAGCCCCCTTGCCTTCCCTGTGAGGGAATGTCCATGAGGAAATTCTTCTAGAAGTTTCCATGGGAAAAGCTCCCTCTAGTAGCTTTTCCTTGCTCTGCAAGGGTAGGGTTACCATATTTTGTGCCTCCTAATGGAGGACACTCCCGGGGGCCCGGGCCCC